CCCAATCACCAGTTTTCTTATTTTGTTTAATAACAGCCTTCCACTGACATCCGGTTTTCTTAGTTGAAGTAATTCGTTGAGTAGCTTTGCTTTTTCTAGGATTACCACGATGACAGTGAAAATGAATTGTTTTATGGCATCCACGGTTATTTTTTGAAGAAGTTACGGATATTCCATATCCACCATTTAAAGATACAGAGTAAAGGTATTGCTTTGCCACCTTATCACTTCTAAAAAGTTTACCCCACCGTGGATCTTTGAGATTTAAACTTAAATCATTAACTATGTGAATAATAAGATTGATATTAATGAGAATGAATAATAATAAGAACAATTAATAATAAGAATGAATAATAATAATGAATAAGAAGGATGAATAATCAGTATTAATTCGAAAAAAATTGCATCAAATTTCGAAATTAATTAAAGAAAATCACTCACCATTTGCAATTATAGGCCAGTCTGCATCCACAGCAGAACACGCCACGTGGATATCTGGAAGATCTGTTGAATAAAGAACCAAAAAAAAAATAGATGGATCAACAACCAAAAACGTGAAAAAAAGAAAATTTCGAAAAAAAAAAAAAAATCGAAAATATAATCAAATACCTTTGAGCTTGATGTCTCCTTCAGCTCCAGCTTCATCTGGAAGATTATGAAGAGCTTCTACATGTTTTTGAAATTCTAAAACACGTAGAAAAACACATATTAATATGAAGAATTATGAATCATGTAAAAAAAAATATAAAAATTGAAACTCACCTTCACTGAATTTATCATCTTCAAAAGCTTTATTTTTTTTGTTGAAAGGATCTTTAATAATGTATTGCTTATTAATATAAATAAAGTCATCATTGTTTCCATCATCTGTTGAACCTTCTGCGTCTAAATCTGAATCTAAATCCATTTCATGATCTACGTGCTTTGAATCCAAATCCATTTCATCTCCGTGATTTAAATCTAATTGAACTTTGGAAAAGGGAGAAGGTTTTTGAGGTGGAAGTGATAAGGGAGCAGTTTGAAATGAATTTGAATTTGAAACAGAATGGGAAGTTCTTTTGGAAGGTGGAGTTGTCAAAACTACATTCTGATTAAAATCCGTATGAAACTTTTGATTATCTTCATTCAAATTCATTTCACTGTCAGGTAATTGTTGAATGGAAATATTCTGATTCATCTGATTATTTGACTGAATTGGATGAGTGAAATTGTTGAGATTTGGATTTAAATCATTCATCTGATTATTATTACTATTTGATTTGTTATAACTGAAATTTGAATTAGAAGAAGTGATTAAATTTGAAGAATTTAAAAGGTTTTGATTGACGGAATTAAAATTTGGTTGAACAGGATTATTCATCTTTGATTGATTGATCATATTCAAAAGAAGACCCAAAGTGTTATTATCAATTTGATTCATACTATTTTGATTTAAGGTATTTTGAGTTTGATTTAGTAAATTTAAATTACTATTATTGAATGAATGAGTGTTAAAGTTGGAATTATTATTGTTCAATAAAGTTTGAGTGTTGAAATCCGTGTTAATAACACCATCATTAATATTCAATAAGCTACTTTGATTGTTCATTAAATTACTTTGATTCATCATTAAGGAACCTTGATGGTTTGATGGAATTTGTTGATTATTGTTGAATAAATGATTATTATGATTATTGAACATCTGATTATTATTATTCATCATCATATGATTATTATTATTCATCATATTATTCATATTATTCATCATTTGATTACTGAAGTTTCGATTTAAATTGTTGTTTATATTATTCATTTGATCATGTTGTAAACTGTTGAAATTGTTGTTGTGATTATTCATCTGATTGGTATTGTTGAAAGGTTTAAAATCACCCGTAGGGATTTGGTTGTTGTTGTTGTTGAAGTTGTTGTTTTTCATTTTAATTTGATGTGAAGAGTGAAAACCTGGCGTGACTAGCTTTAAAACTGAGAAGTTGATGATTTTTTGAAGGGTGGAGGGTTGAAAAAGTTCAAAGTCCGTGTTCTAGAGTGGAAAAGGGGGGAAAGGAGCCAAGGGGCCTCTATATCAGTGGATGTGTACGTGAAGTTTGACCAAACTTCCACGTACACACACGTGTAGGCCCGTTCCCACGCGTCTGAACAGCTGTAGGCGCGCAGAAATGACGCCTACATGGCTGTATTAGGAAAGTGGGCGCTTTTTTCCCACGCCTACATGCCAGAAAATCCATGTAGGCGCACAGAAATTACGCCTACATCCCCTTTTTGCAATGTAGGCGTAATTTCCGTGCGCCTACATGGATTTTCCTGCATGTAGGCGTGGTATTCACCCGCCTACATGTCAAATCTTAAATGTAGGCGCTCAGAAATTGCGCCTACATGCAAAAAAAGGGATGTAGGCGTAAAATTCAAGCGCCTACATATGTAGGCGCACCCAAATTACGCCTACAGTCGAAAAAATAAAATGTAGGTGTAATTTCCGTGCGCCCACATATGTAGGCGCTTCAAATTGACGCCTACATTTCATTTTTGGAATGTAGGCGTATACAAATGACACCTACATTGGTTTTCCAGCCTGTAGGCGTCATTTGAAAAGGGAAAAAGCGCCTACAGGCTGTATGTAGGCGCTTTTTCGTGGGAAAAAGGCATGTAGGCGCTGTTTTGGCAGCGCCTACATGGATTTTGTGTGGGCTGCAAATAGCAACGGCCTATAATTAATTCAGTCGTCTACCCTCCAGATTGCAGACCAGTAACTATATCAAAAGCAATGGCTGTGTCCCTCCATCTCCCAGTAGAAGTCGTGGAATGTATTGTAGCTCACTTATGTGATGTGCTCCCAAAACTACGAGGTAATCCTTTTAACAGCGGTGATGAGTCTTTGTTGCAACATCAATCAATTATAACGTTGCTTCGCTTGAGATATTTGTCCAGGTCATGGGCTGTTGCAATTCCTCCGTTTGTTTATAGAAGTTTATTTTTGAGAACACCTTGGGTCAATCGCTATGTGGTGAAGATGTGGGAGAACAGCTACACTATATCAAATATCTCCAACTTACGTCATCTATGTCTAGAACAAGTCATGTATATTCCTTCCTTGAACGACGACAATGTGTATGGAAGCTTACCGGACGAATGTCGAGATGAACTCGAGTACGAATACGCAAAGTGGGATTCAAACTCAGTCTTTATGCCGGACGTAGCAAGCATCATCAGTTTATGTGGTTCTCGCTTGGAAAATTTAAAACTCAAATTCACTTACTCAGTGGGATTCTCGGACAGTTTCATAGTTGCAATGAAACAAATCAAAAACTTAAAACACTGATAATTGAAGGAACAAAACTCGGACACATTCGAAATGATTCGAAATCCATGATCAGTGTTTTAAACAACGCGAGGTATTTAGAATCATTATCTTTACGAGTTGCCAATTTAGATTGTCTGGACGTTGACGTTGGGGCTTTGCCAAATTTGGTTCATTTCTGGATATCATGCCATCCAAACAACCTATTTGTGGTGCACGATTTCTGTGCAATCGCTGGGAAGACGATCAGGCTTTTAGAATACAAACCTTCAAAGGAGCTTGAAACTTGCGCTGGGATGATTTTGGAGTTGAGAGACACAGTTGAAGGACTCTTCTTTGATACAATTCCGCACCACATACCACGCGATGTTGCTTTGATATCGTTTCCAAAGCTTCGGGTTGTGCGATGCATGTATATCACTCCTGGACAATTTCAACGCACATGGCTCGAATGGCCAATTTTTCAAACTGTCAAAGTGTTAATCTCAGCTTATGCGGTAACGAAGGCGTATTGGTATTGGGTTTTGAACCAGCATGGAACCTTCAATAAATCATCAAAATTAAAACATTTTGTGTTCATTACGTATACAGCAAAGATCATGGGGGATCCGATTTTGGAAAGGCTCTTTGAAGCGCGTGGAATAAAGTGTCATTTTAGGGTGGACATGACTCACACTGATATACTGGTAGGTTTTCTTTCGTTGTCCTAATTATAATTGATAAGAAGTTGTGACCAAGTAACTACATACAAAAACACAGAATTTCATCGATGAGCTGGATGATGAGTCGTGCAAGATAGAAGAAATTTAGTAGCGACGTACGTTAATCATTATATTATGATAGTAAGTCGTATTTGAGACTACAACTGTGCTTCACAAATAATTCTGACATACTGTCTGCAGTAGACTCCTAGAATTGGTCAATCAAGGGACTGAGAATTTGTGAAGGTACGAAGTGGTCAAGAAGTGATTCTTATGTTTAATGTAGTGGTGAGAAAATTGGTTTTGGCGCGTGCACAAACAGCTTATATAGAATTAAAAGACCTGAATAAATGTTGTTTCGTAAGGGAATGAAGTCACTTCATATTTTTCTTAGCATCATGTTGTCTATTAATAACTTTCCTTCTTATGTATGTTGCACAATGGGATCACACCCTTGGTCGATATTCATCGCAATCAGCCTTAGAAATTTAAATAATTCCTTGTGACCTAAATGCCATTACTCTATGAGTTTCCTGAGATTTGATTGTGTTAGACAAAGTTACCACAGGCAACTAATTTGAATTTGCTTCGGCATATTCGGTAGGTGCCTGACGTACTTATGCAAAATATAGTTCTATCACATGAGAAATGGACAAAGAATAGGTTTTGCAAGTTCTCAAATAGCTGGCCATGTGCTAAAACAAACACAATCAGAAGTGTATTGATATCAAGTTGTAATTTACAATTCCGCATGTCAATGCAGCGATCTGCAATTTTCATCCAATCTGGCGATGTAACTTTCTTGCAGAGCGGATAGATCAATGGCCATGCTCAAATACGAGGATATTGAGGTTGGTTTGAAAATTGTGGGTGAATCCTCAACTTTGCGGATTCAACGAAGCGTACCCCATCGAGTTGTGTACTTAAGTTAAACTAAATGAAAATATATATTAGTCACAGTTAAGTCACTCTCATTGTCGGTTTGATGATTATCAGTAACCGAAATGTCATCGTTCCTTACACTCCCAGTCGAAATTATAGAACTAATCATACGGCACCTTCATGATGTGTCTTTTCATGGGAACGAACCTCCAATCAATACCGCGGACAGACCATTTCCAAATCATAAGGCAATCAAAATTTTATTGAGTCTAAGATTAGTTGGGAGAGCTTGGGCTACTGCGATTCCAACCTTTGTCTACGACTCATTGATGTTAAGATCTCCATGGATTGATCATTATCTGCTATTAATGTGGAAGAGTTGTAAAAATCTACATGGAGGATTCAGCCTACGACAAATGTATTTTCAACAAATCATCTGTTTCCCGACTACGCATCTCGGAGGCTACTATGGCGCTTTGTCGGATGAATGTCGTGAGCAGTTCGAATACGGACACCATCGGCGGGAACCAAATATTATGTATATGCATGATGCCGCCGACATAATTTCTTTGTGTGGTTCTAAATTGACGGACTTGAAATTAGGGTTCTCTCGATCAATTGGGTTCTCAAACAAGTTAATTGACGCAATTGGACACATTAAAAACTTGAAAGTCCTGTTCATTGAGGGGAATCAGGTGGAAAACCACGAAGATGATTATTATTCACTGGTTGCTGTGTTGAGCAGTGTTCCTTCTCTCGAGTCGCTTTCCTTAAAATTTGCTACCGTATCATGTCTGGATTTAAAACCTGGTTGTCTACCAAACCTTTTGCACTTATGGGTGACTTGCCACGCTTCCAACATTGGGGCCCTCAACCGTTTTTGTGCTGATCAGTGCAAACAACTCAAATTATTAGAATATTTACCAATTGACAATTCCGATCAATTGGATACGATGATTCTAACTTTACAAAATAATTTACAAGCGTTGTCGATTGACTGTATCCCAAGTGACATACCTCGTGCGGTCCGTTCAACATCAATTCCAAAGCTGAAGGTTATTCGTTCTACAGCAATCAGCAATAAAGGTACTCTACCAGTGTGGTTGCCATGGTCGGTTTTTCAGACAGTTCAGGTGTTCATTACAGATTATGACGAGACTAGCACTTACTGGCATGCTGTGTTAGGACAAGTAGATAAATCATTCATGGAGAGAGCTCAAAATTTGAAACACTTCATTTTTCTAAGTAGATATGGTAACTTGGTGAAGGATCCGAAGTTAGTGGAGGCTTTTGAGGCTCACGGAATTGCATGTCATTTCCGGTTTGATACGACTCTTTCAGAACTATTGGTAAGCAAACATAACTTTGGGCCGTGAAATCAAATTAAATAGTACTTACAATTATCGTTTAGTATAGCCCTGCATCGAGAGTTTTGTGCGAGTCTTGGGGAAGTAGGAAAAAAATTGATAATGACGTCAGTCTGGCGATGTCTACGGTAAGGTAATAAATGGGAGTCTATCATCAAACATTGACTTAGACACTGATGGGCTATTTTGGTTCGATGTAAGATTTTGAGCTTTATCTGGAGTCAAACTAGATGCACCTGTATTGAGAGTTGAAGTTGCCTTAATGTTAGTTACTTAGGTGAGAACAGACTATTGTCAGTTCAATGAAATCAGTGTCCTGTGTTTTCATTACAAAATAATATTATTCTACTTTTAAATTGAGGTTATCTCCAACTTCTGTGGGAGTAATGCAAAAGTTTGTGAGAGGGTTAAGTTCGAAACCAAGACTGATATAGTCAAATGAGGCCTAAGGTGATAACAAACTTTATCAAAATCCTGCGTGAGGTATCTTCATTGTACAGCAAAAATCACACCATGACATTATTGTGGCTAATCAACAATTCACTTTAACTTTTGAACATGCTGGGACAGACTTATAAGGTACCATGTTGCGGAGTAGACTGATATAAGTACAACCGGAAATGGGTATGGGTGGACTTCCTCAATAAATCGGCGATCTGTTTTGGACAAGTGAGTTGCAATGCTCAGATGAATGATGAGAATATATTACTTGCTAATCATCAATACGCCGACAAGTTGAAAACCCTTCTGGAGCTAAGTAGTTTCTTAGTTGGCTGACGCGCCAAGGGTGCTATTGAACTGACTCGGTAGAAATATGGGGAATTTGAATATGGAAAATCAAAGCTTGATCACTTGGAAGACTATGTGATTTGCTAACCTCTAACATAATGTCTGGAAGGGCCAGGTATGAACGTGGCGAGCGATCTCAATGTATATGATGTTCAAAATCGCACTGACATGCTAGATAGGAGTTGCTTGGCAGAAATGCTATTGAAAACAACTAAGGACGAAGCTGACGACTCAAATTACGGTGATATTCATGTGTTGACAAGTTGAAGCATTAATTGATAAATGAGGTGAATACGAGCAAATTGGGTATTACCCGAATTGATGTATATATCTATTACCTCCAAATTGGTCTGGGTAATGGAGCAGTAGTGCTTATAAGGCTACATTGCCTACCTCGGTCCAAGATTGGTATCTTAAGCAACTAATTATGCCTTCGCCACCACGACTGCCAATAGAAGTAGTGGAGCTCATTGTATCGTATATCTGTGACAATCAGTCATACCAACCCATCGACATTTACGATAGCGCCGAAATAGAATTTTTGAACCAAGGATTGGTCAGGAAATTACTCAACTTGCGATTACTCGGCCCAACATGGGCGGAAACAATTGAGCGGGTTGTATATAAGTCTTTGTATTTGACATTTCCCCAGACACGTAACTTTCTGGAAAAACGGTCAACGGTCAATATGACTTCCTTGGAAGTGTTCAATCTGCGCCAACTTACCTTGGATCAGGTTATGTATCAAGCTGAAATTGGTACGGGATTGTTTTATGAAAGGATTAAAGATGTGAAGCTTAAAGAGTTAGAGATTGAGTATCAGCACCTTGACACCAAATCTACTTTTATGCGGGATGCTGCCGGTATAATCACTAAGTGTGGTTTAAATTTAACTGATCTCAATATTATATTCACTCATTCGGTCGGATTCTCAGACGAACTAATCCTAGCAATCAGTCAAATCAAGCAGTTGAAATCATTATCAATTGAAGGAGATAAATTTGATAATCTCGACAATAACTCAGCTTCTTTAATTAAAGTCCTCAATGGTGCAGATGCGCTGGTACGGAATGCGACATGTGTCAAAGTGACAACTTGAAATTTCAAAAATCAAAATTTTGGAATCCCCGGGTCAGAAACTGACAAAACTGGATTAAACACCAGATTCAACTCAAATACTGGTCTGAAACCCCCCGTATTTGGGATGAAACCATACTTTCTGCCAGTTTTTAGCGGTTTCCAAACCACAACCCCAAATTTGACCGCTGAGTTGACACTTTGGCACAAATAATACACAAAAATTTCAAAGATCAAGTTTCAACATTACAAAATTCACATACTTGCAAAACGACCAAACACAAAAGTGATTCTTTACCACAAGTCAACTGTAACTGTAAATTCACATCAACTCGAATCTACTGCTATCATCGCTTCCATTGCTTCCAAGCCAACCATAGAAAATCTGCAAAAATCAAAAGCCACAGCTGTCATCACTATCATCTGTCACCTCATTCTCTGCACAAGTACCTGTGAAGCAGACAAGGACAAGCATTCACCTTGAGGTTTAACTGCAAAAACAAAAATTTCTGCCTACTGAATTTCCTTCTGTACTTGTGTTTGCCAGCTTGCCTGGTTGACCGGAATAACTTATCACCTTCTAACCCATTTTCATTTTACTCTTTACGTTAAAAATGGAATCAACCGAACAAATCTACCCAGCTCAAAAACTTGTTGGTTATACTTTAAAAAACTCTACTTGTAGTCATTTCCTTTAGCTTTACTACAGTCATCAAACAGTCACTTTTCCTTCCATTTGTTATCTTGCTCTTTTTCCTTGGGATACCACAGATTGTTTAACCATAAGTTATTCAAATGAAGCTCCTTAAGTTCCTTATATTCTTTTGATAAAGTTCTATCTTATCAAACCAACACTAAAGTGTCACTCAAAGATTTTAGATGTTAGTACATGTTTACCTAGCCAGATTAATAAGTGACTGCACTTAGTGATACACTGACAGAGGTTCTTCCTCCGCACTGTAGACAACTACAAGTAACAATTGTAGGTTCAAACAGTTTACCTTACAAAGAATTAAAAACTAATTCCTCACTAGTCTAGAAATCACCTTTCAAACTTTAAGAAATACATTTTGTACGCATAGTTCACCATTAATGTTTAGTCTAGAGCTGACAGTTTCTCTTGTGTGAATTCTCACAGCTTCACAATTTGTGTCATGTAACTTCTTTTTCTTCTCCTGTTTATACTTAGCATCTCTAGCTGCCTTATGTGCAGCCCGCTTTACAGCTTTATTTTTCTCCTTGACATCAGATTGCTGCCTAGCCATTGGTTCAATAGAAGTAAAAAGTTAGTATTGATCAGGGTTACCTTCCTCGGAGAGATATAACATCTCACCCCAAAAACCTAGCTGCAGGAAGAATAAAACAAAGGTCAGCTCACGTGGAATGCTTCATAATTATCACCCACATAGAATGAGGATGGAGTGGAACACCCACGACTTGGTGATATGTGAATCAAGAGGCTAGACCAGTTGTCGGGGTTCCCCTCAGTCACCTATTCTTACCCCTAAAGAGTTCACATATCCTCAAGTCACTGGCTGCTACCACTCCACCCCCACAACATGAAGTGCAAATCTGAAGCTAGTAAGGTTGGGAAAGATTAATGAAAGCATACCTTGATGGATGCACTTGACGGACGGGATGTTTGAAACTTGTTGCTTCAATGAGCCTCCTCCACTTTTGACTCTGAAATTATAGGAAACTAATCCAGGGCCAGCTTGTGGTTTGCAGATTGTATAACATGTATTTGAATACAAGCAAGGATGGCCAGATGGTGGTTTGAGTAAGTCATGTGACATGTTGTGGAGACAGCATTGCGCACTTGCTCCTGGTGGGTATGAAGGCAAGCAGTAGCCAATAGTTGTGTTGGCAGGCCAACAGTGTATCAACACGCAAACCGCCCCGCAGAGGACTGCGGCAGCGCTGCGACAGCGCTGTGGTCGTGCCGTGGTCGAAGTCATACAAAACCTCGCTGCGGTACTGCCGGGCCGCCGCGGGGGTTTCACTGCGATGATATCGGGCCGGGGTTGCAGTGAGGCAACCGCAGGGATAACCCAATTGGCCATCTCCTTCCTTCTCATCGCTCAATTCGTTTGTACACTGCACCCCAACGACACCAATCCGATTCACAACCCCAAACAGGTTGATTCAGAACCCCAGGATGGGGTCATCAAGGATGACACCAATGGTTAGTCATTTCCTTAGTTGCTTATTTTGATACTCAGCGGCTGATAGTGTGATTCCGAATCCATCTGACTCACTTATATCATTGGATTTCTTTTTACCAGCGGCCACGTTTGATCGTACTTGGAGTAGAAGTCACCTACCTGTCTTTTCTTTTTCTTAAACTCAGTCTCTATTTACAACTCATTCTTATAGTTCCCAACAGTTTCTTTCGACTCCAGCTCATTTTTAATCAAGTTCAATTAGATCATTTCAATCTATTCGCCATGCTATTGAATTCATTATCAGTACCTGCCACACCAAGCACCAACCGCGAGTTACGTACCCGCTCTCCCATCCGATCTCAACCGTCACCTGGGTTTGTGCTCACGTCACCCAACCTACGAAGAACGAGTGAACTCCAGGCCAGCCCAGCTAGCCGTCAACCTCCGAGCTCATCTAGCCAGCTGCTCACTCCTGCTGCTAGTGCTAGTCAATCAGCAACTCAGGCTAACAAAAAACGTAAACAGCCCAGTCCAAAGACCAAGCCGCCGAAGAAGCACAAAAGTTCAAACACTCAGGTTGGCAATCTTCTTATATTATTACTTGCTTTATCACTTGCTTACTTGTTGATTTTGTTTCAGGTCCTTTCTGTTCCAAAGGTGATCGATGTGGACCAAGAGTCCTCTGGTGATGAGGAGGCTCAAAATCGAAACGGACCAGCTGCAGCTAAGAAAGGCGATGTGAAGTTACTCCTCTCGTATTTTGGTGAACCAAAGCATAAGCCCGGCGAGGTGAGTTTATCGCTAATTTTCTTGTATATCATTTTGAAATGGAATCATACTGATGTTAGCTTACAGTCTGGCCCTTTCAAGCGTCTGTACCCTTGCCTATGGTGCGATGAGTACGTGACCAGGGGACGCAAGACGAATTTGAACATGTATGGTCACCGAGATGGCGAGCCGGATCGTAACCCTTGTACCGGCCGTAAAAGGGCAATCAAGTCCGGTATGAAACTGCCTCCTACCTATCAACAATTACAGAAAGCCGAAGTTGCAAAGACTGCCAGTGGGAAGATGATGCAGGCGTTCATCAAGAGACCAGCC